GTGACATATTAAATCATTGGTTTCCTCATCTGAAAATGGAGATAATAAGAAACAATATTTAGTTCATGTGTATGGTACTTCCTGAAATTGGAATAGCTATACATAGCAGCCATGGTTATAAGGTTTAAGCAAAGATTAAATTAAGTGTTTCATATAAATTATACAACACTACTTAACACATGATATGCAGCACTGAATATATGCTACCTTTTTTCCCCTCAATATGTAATAATGTATTCAATATCTTGATATAGGAATTACATGTCACATATTATGACATTAAAACTCATTGTCATTCTGAACAGCTAAATCTAACAGTTAAAAAACAACTGATAGAGCACAGTTGCTACCAAATATAAAATAACTATATTAAATCAGCCAGATACTTGGATCTGTGAATATACCATGAACTTTGGTATGTCCCATGTCAGTTAAAGTGACACTGCACTGGACAAATAAGAATCTTTAGCACCAGACCATTTTGAGTAATGCCAGGTAAAACTTCTGATGGAGGAAAAAGATACAAACAAAAATACATCAATATATTTTCCCCCTATTTATAACTTTTAAAGTATTTTAACCGCCTGAAAAAAATCATCTAGCTGGAATAAGAGAGCCATTTTTTCTTCAACCCATATGAACATCTAATTTTCTTTCTACCCATTTCGCCTCAGTGGCCCCTTTTGTATGACACACTGTTCTCCTATAACTTCTAAATTTCTGTTCATTTGCTGTTGGCAAGGATAAGGTCGGAAATAATATGGTCTGTCTATTAAAATCTGTTCTCCCTCCCCCCCCCCTCAATGAGAGGAAGCAAAGGCTTGACTAAGGCACCCTCATAATAATTTACCTAGGGCTTAATGAAATTTTCAGCACAACCTGCTGTTCATTTTAATGCCCTTTGAAAAACAATGGAAAAAACACAGCTGGAGGGAATAAAAGATTTCTCCGTGGCATATATCTGTGAGCTTAACATTTCGTTCCATTCACCCTATCTCAGATCCCCTCATCCCCATATTGCTGCTCTCATCGCAGGGCTATAACATTGTTTTGTAGTTTTTTGAGGATACATTTTGCAGTTCTTTTGTTAACTTTATTCCTAAGTATTTCATTCTTTTGATACTAGAGTACATCACAAAGCTCCAGGCCATTTGTTTGTCCTGTATACAGTGTCACTGTCCTGATGCTTGAATAATGTCAGGCTTTGGTGACCATTCTCATGTTCAACCTTACCCTTTGATTAATGAACTCTTTAAAGCTAGTGTAACTTCCCACTTGCTGTTGAGACTTTTACACATTTCCCGAGATTATGTCCCCATTTTTCTCTCCTTGCAGTAAAAAAAAATATCCTATTCCTTTTCTATGGTACAATTTTCTGCTTTGCTGTTATTTTTCTTACTGATTAAGATCGTCACTTTCCTGAAATACATAAATTGCTTCTTGATAAATCTCCCAGTTGTTACAGTTCTTAAACATTCTTGCCATAGCAAATATAATTACCAATAAAAGTGAGTCTATTTACATTTCTGTGTACTCAAAATACGTCTGGGAATCTTGTGTGCATAAACATAAAATGTATCTTAGTGGTTCTGTATTCATACAGAAATTATCTGTCTGGAACTCATGCTTTTAGAAACTTGCCATGTTTAATTTATATTCTGGTTTTCTATAAAGATTATCACTCTATTTTCTCAATATCTTTATATTATTCAAAAACAAGTCACTCTTTAGTTCAGCTTTTACTATAATTGTAGGAGGAAGTACAAAAAAGGTTGTAGGAAATACAATAATGAAAACAGTCTAATGTACACATGTAATAGTGATGTTTCTTCATGTCAACTGTTTCTTCTGTGGATGTTCTATCTCTGCTGTTTTGCTTGTGTAGCTATTACTAAATATTGTACTTTTCTCCTAATTCCCAATACCTCTTAATGTCTGTCTCCTGCTAAGCAAATTGGGGCACTGTCTCCTGCCCACTTTCCTTTTGGGAATTATTCATTTGCTTTTGCCCTATCATATACTTCCAAATTAGGAGTCTGTGCATCTACTTGGAAGGAAGTCAATATAATACATTGGGGACTAGCAAGGTCATATACCAAATTTCCATAGAGGACACCATCTAAAGGTAACCCCCAAACTACTTTGTAATAGAATACATTCCACTGCAGTGTTGGTTCTTCCTGGGCTTTCGTCTTGGACAAGGAACACATTTCAAACAGAAATTAAAAATTAACAGGGAAATACTTCTGAACTCATATTATGAAGCCAGCATTATCCTAATACCAAAATATGAAAAATACATTACATAAAAAACTGTAGAACTGGAACAGGGAACACACTAGATGAATTTGCAGCATCTTATAGTGCTGGAAAGAAAAGAAGCACTCAACACCAAAACAAAACCCACAATAATAGTGGTATGTCAAAGTGACACAAGTCAATGGAAAGTGTTTCCAAAGGCCAAAGTTAGAATGATTTGTGCAACAAAATAACATAGATTGGGTTATAACTCAAAGTGTACAATAAGTATCCAAGAACCCATACTTACATAAATAAATGATTAAGTAAATTAATAAGTGGGAACATGGAGAAGAATTCTAACTAAATTATGTAGATATTCCACTATAAAAAAGGGGGAGCACAGCTCCCTACTCCTGAAATGTGGGTTGCACATAGCACCATTTTCCCAAAGACTATGGTATGGAAAAGGGACGAGGGAACTTTACAGTGAAGAAATGTGACAAACACTATATCAGCCAGCTGATCAAGTTCAACATCAACATTCATAAATCACATGGAAATTATGTATCCTTGATATGGTGTGACACAAATGGTAAAACACTTCTGTGGTTTTCCTCCTCAAACCTATAACCCCGGTTTAGTTAAGAGAAAATCACTAGACAAATTCCAATAGAGGGGCATGCTAACAGCATATCTGAACAGCATTCCTCAAAACTTCTAAGGTTATCAAAATCAAGAACAGTCTGAGAAACTGTCACAGCCATTAAGAAGCCCAAGGAGACATGGCAACTAAATGAATGTGTTATCCTTGAAGACCTCCTACAACAGTAAAAGCACATGTGGTAAAAACAAAGATATCTGAATCAACTGTGGGATTTAGTTAATAATAATGTATCACAACATAAGAGATGCAAAATAATTTTAAAAACAGAAAGTTAATCATGTAAAATGAATAGAATATGTAAAAAAGATTTAAAAATATTAGGTTAAAAGATGTATTATCAGAAAGCTATGATGTGGGGTGATTTTTGTTTTCTTCCTTTTATTTTTGTTTTGTCTTATTTTTGAAAACATATTATTATAGTAAGACAAGTATTTTTAATATCAGAAAAAAATTCCAGCACATTAAAAATAAGTTGTCTGGGTCCTCCTCAAAATCCCATTTTTTATCTCCATGCGACAGGAGCCAAAATGTCTTTGGCTGACTAGATTAACTCTAAAACCCCTTCCAAGTGTAAGATCATGTGAATTACATAAATTTTAACTAAAATCCATGTCCCAACTATGCATCTGGTAGGGACCCAGAAATTTTAATCACCATATAACTTCCAAATATACTGGTTAACACACATTTTGTGCCAGATATACTCATAATTTACCAGTGTCCTAACAACAGACTAGAAATGAGTCTAACAGTGTTACATAGTATAAATGCAGTATATTTTTGGTATAAAATATGCTTTTTCTGTCTCTGTTGTTTTGTTTGTTTGAATTTTCCATCTGACTCCAAAATAGGAGGCATGTTCTTGTGTGCAATGTGCTACCCATGCTTAGGATGAGCACAGGTTTAAACAGGATTTAGGAAACATCTGTAACATGAAGGATGACTGTCAGTTATGCATCAATTATCCAACTTGCATCGGTTGTGTTATTAGTTTGCTTGCTTTAATTTTAAGATTAGCCAATATGCCTATCACCTAAAGGTTACTATCATTAACTATTAAAAGAGATTTAGAAGATGAAATCTTAAAAGAAAGGCATCCTGGACGTTGAACAAATGGGAACATCAGCATACCTATCAGAATTAGAGAATCATTTTTCATATATATATAATGGACTTAGCCATATTAATTTTGAACTATATAAGAAATAGTCCTAACTACCAAGGTAACATAAGATGTCTTCATATATAAATGTTATACAATGTAACAAAGTTGTTAAATGGCCTTAGGGAAAAAAACTGGAGATGAACAAATTGTACAATAGATATTTGGCACGCAGGTAGTGACTATTCTGGGCTCTGCTGCCACATTCTATTCTTTTTTTTTTTCCTTTTTCAACAATGAAACATTTTTACAAGCAGTTCTAATTTCACATTCTATTAGTGCCTCAATTAACTGATGTGAAGCCATACAACACGTGTATTAATTAATAATTCATTAGTAACACACCCACATATCACAGACAATTCTCTACTCACTCTGTTTCGCCATTCAAGGCAGTTGACCACAGAGGAGTAAAAGGGAAATGGATGGATGCTGATTAGGTTGATTGCTGGATAAATTGCTCAAAGTTTGTGCCAAATTGAGATATGACTATAATAGTACCTTGGGAACACAGAGGAAACCATTCCAGTTCCAAAGTGTGCTTTCCTTCCTACTAACTGGGGAGGCCCTCCTGGGTAGAACTACTTCCCATTCACCTTGTAACCCCAGCCTCACACATAATAAGCACTTAATATACCACTTATCTGATTGAATCTTTAAGTTTTACTCAACTGCAGCTTATGTGTGAAAAGAAGGAAGACATCACAACAGAAACGAATGACTGCAAAAACTGGAATAGCCATGTTTAAATGCTTCTGAAAAAATTCCACCCATCTTCATAGCATCAGGTTTCTATTTTGTCCAATTTAACTTAGAGAGGATAAGTTTAAAAAACAAAAGAAAACAAAACAAAACAAAAAACAAAAAAAAAGACCTAGAGATTAAAACGGAACGATTAAAATGAGAGCAACAACTTTCTTTCCCAGCCTTTACCTTCTGGCTCATTTTTTATGAGCTCTTCCATTTTCCTCTGCTTCAAGGTGTCAACAACATCAGCTAAGCTGCCTTTGCGCCGTTCAGGAGTTCCCAGGGCTGTACTGGACAAGGACTCGCCACTCTGCCGCCCACCTTCTTCTGCCTTCTGAGGTGAGGTAGATGAGTTGTGTGGGGCAAATGAAGACATAACTTTATTGCCATCAACTTCCTGCATGAAGAAGCAAAAGAGAAAAAAAAAGTCTTTAAAATTCAGTAAGTTTTTAAATTGGTTACGTGACTTATTCAGCTGAAACACTAAAAAGTGAAATGTCACTCTGCAAGAGCTAAAGGATGAAAGAAATTTTGAAAAAAAGAATACATTAACTTTACAGGCTAGCACTAGAGACAGTCAAAGACCAATTCATTGGAACAATAAAAATATCGAGGTTCTGTCTCTCAGACTGAGTACAAATGGCAGTATAGTCTTATACAAAGCCTAATTAGATTCACTTATTTTTCTGTTGTTGTTTGAAAGTCTTAGATTTTCCTGTGAACATTAAATGTAGCAGTCATCTCTAGTCAACCTCCTCATGACATTGTGATACTTAAATAACATCCCATATACTTTAATTTTCGTCTTAAGTAGCCACCTCTTCTTGATGGCACTCCTAATAAAAGTTCCTCTCGTTCTTTTAAGAAAGCATCAGCCACACAGGTTATTTTGACATCAGATAGGAATATTGCAAGTTCACTTCTGTTTATGCTGAAGATATTTCCAATTCCATTTGTTACCTCAAGCACTGTTTCTGTCAATATTCTTCGATATTTTGTACTTTTTAAGTCTCATTTGCCATATAGAATAAAGTTTCTTGAAGTCTTTGCCTCTTCATAATTGTGTTTGTGTATAAAAATAATTTGTTTTATAATTCTAAAATTTAAACACATTTTTACGGTGTTCCTTTCGTCATTATTTTTTCCACAATTTCTAGCGCAACTCTGGCAATTTGTACATACTATTTGGGTATATTTTGTATAAAAGGCACTAAATTGATTTTTCAGACAGTGTCAAAAGGAGTGATACTAAAATGATAAAGGAAAAATATTTTTTTAAAGCTTTACCTTGTTTCCACAATCTTTTACTTACTTTCATAATCTTTGACTGCCTACAAAGTAGAGCTCTTCTTAAGAATAAATCTGTATCCTAAGATCTACAAAGAAGTAAGGCTCCCCCTAAGTATATTTCTTACTTTCACATTATTAAAATTTTGCATTAAAATGTATTAGATTGTGCATATTTAATATTCAGAATAGATTATATTCATGTTTACACATTTCTTCTTGATCTATTTAAGACATGTTAATAGGTTCTGTTGATCCCAGAAAAGTGAAAAATCACATTGATTTGATATCTAATTTTTCTTGGCTAATGCTAACAGCTTTGACTACCTTAAAAATATGCAAAAAGCTTAATAAAATGTCATTCTAATTTTTAAAAATTGGTTAAAAATGGAGATGTCAACACAAATATAATCATAATCTGTGCATGGGATTTTTTGTTAATGGGTAGTAGTGAATACAAGGACATTAGCTATGGTACAAATATCAGTTTGCTGGGTGGGAACAAAGCAATGTGGAGAAATCAGAAGTAAAAAATGTGAGCAAACAAAATCTTTGAAATTATAATTCTAAACCCGAAAATGGTTTCTATTTCTTACAAACATTACAGAATATGCCTCTGATGATTATGTTGTTTTGAATGAATATTCTATAGACAATACATTCACAGATGAATCTTAGCTTATGAGGTACTTAGGTTTAGATACCAATATGCATAACGTAATAATTACAAGCCCCTACAGGCTAAGTGAAGGTATATGTCTCAAATTATGTATTTAAAACCCATACATAAATAGAAGCAAATGCATAAATGCGCACAGCACACACATGCAAACACACACACATGTATGCATGCAGACACAACAATCACACCTTCAGTAAACTCAGGGATGTTTTTATGAATGGTCCACAATACACATTAGCTCAGTTTTATGTGCAAACCAGAATATAGAAAATCCTCTGTATTCATTTCCCACAGATCTTTCTTCTCATTTATCTCCAGGGTCAAAGGCAGAAACATTCTAGTTTTAGCTTCACTTTGAACATGTCTACTTTACACTCTGTTTTCACATTATATGATGACAACTTTACAAACAAGAGTTTGGCGGCTGAACTTCACTTGCCATAATTGAAAATTACACACATCTTTCTATAGCATCATCAGTAGAAAGAATGGCACTCAAATTGTATGCAATCAAGTCTATTAAAATATCAGAAAATATTTCCAATTAAAGCAAAAAAAAAAACTCGTACAATAATATCCCAGTTTGCATGTCTCTAATTTTTTACACCTTGCAAAGAGGAAGGACGTATTTTAAAAAGTATAACATATTTCACAGGTATTCTAAACTCAGTTACCACAACAAGATAAAAATAAATGAATTAATTAAGCATCACTGCTATTTCACACAAGAATATTTATCTTATCACTGTTTCACCTGTCTGATTACATTTCAGCCTCTGGCACTGTTAATGCCTTTAACAGTTTTATGTAGTTAACAGATGTTTCAGTGTGGGACTCCATTGTTCATTTGCATGGTGAATAGCTTGCTTAGGAGTGCTGGCACAGTCTTCAACAAGGAAGTCCTATATTTTTCGGTTTCTTCCCTAAGACTGCATTGACCATACCTGAGATAAAGACTGCATGTTTCTCTTCTCTTTGATGCCAAGTGAACATCCAGGGAGTCTACTGACAATGGCATCAGTGGCACAGACCAGCAGTATATATTACATCAAGTTTTATGAACTCGAAGGACAAGCATCAGTATTTTGCAGAAGAGATCTCAGAACTGTGATGTATGACTTCTAAAATCTAATGATAAAAACAGGGTTCTACACTTTTAGAACCAGGTTGATAATTTTTTGTAATTCTTGAACAAGATTTACTTAATCTGGCTTCCCTTGTCACCTTTGCAACTATGAGACCAAAAAAAAAAAAAAAGGATCTGCCTAATGTAGTTATGTATCTATCCTCATTTAAATGTGGTTTTTTAAATTTATTCTTGTTAACTAATTCTAAAGACAGTATTTTGCTACAAACGTTTTTGAGAGAAATACTATTTCAACCTTACTGTTCAAATTTTAGTTTAGATAATGTGCTGATTAAAAAGAATGAACTCATTTGAAAAAAGAGATTATATGTGACTCAACCAGGTATCAATGTACTGTCCAAATGACATTGCATCCTTGACTTCCGGCCTCAAGATACTCATTTTCCTGCTTACTTTTGGTCCAAAAACTGAAATTAAATTCATACAGAGTAGTAGAACATTACATTTAATAGTCAATCTCTCAGCCTATAATTGCTAAGACTAATAGCCAATAGTTATTGAATATATACTTTGTGTCAGGCACTGTTTAAAGTGACTTACATGCATTAACTCAGTTAAGTTTCACAGCAAGCCTAATTATGATTGGTACTTCTTAGCTTGAGAAACTGAGTCACAAAGCCTGACTAAATTCCTGAGATTACATGAGTCATAAAAGGTAATCAACCTCAACCTGTTGGGCTTCAGAGCTGTGGTTTTCAACCACAGTACTAATAGCACCTCTCTCTTAAAACAAAAACAAAATCTCCTAACTATGCCTAAATCTATCAAGGCTATGGGTGAATCAGATACACTGTCTTCTTCTTAATAATTATGTAGGAAAATGAGGGGTTTTCACCCTACCTGCTCAATTCCTAAAGAAAAGAAATTCTATAAATGAGTTGAAATAAATTAATCCAACTATATTCCAGATTTATAAAGCTTTCTTGATTCAAATAGCCACTGGTTTACGTCATATTGAAATATAAAAAACTTAAATAATTATTTGAACCAAACACATAGATTTAAGCTTTAAGTGCCTCATCAAAGAAATGGTGTTCAGTCGTTTATGATTTTTCACTTTGTCTTTATTAAATGTGTGGGCATCTCTAGCATCCTTTCCAGCACAACAAAGTTTTGAACTTAGGAAAAGAACACTTCAGGAGACTTGGACTATTTTTAACTAGATTCTCATTAATGCAATTTCATTAATTTTGATACTGAACAAAATGAAGTGCAGATACAGGGAGAAAGTGCTTTGGTGCTGAACAAGTTATGACACAGTCACAGTCTATTTTCCAGTTAAGGGCTGTTCTTGTAAATATCACCAGGACAAGGGAAAAACAAAACAAAACAAAACTGAAAAATATCTTAAAAACTACATTATTTGGTTGAAATGGGTGTAGGTGGTCAAAAGGTACAAAATTCCAATTATAAAATAAATAAGCCTAAGGGATGTAATGTACAGTATGGTGACTATAGTTAATAATACTGTATTGTATATTTGAAAATTGCTAAGAGAATAGATCTTAAAATTTCTCATCACAAGAAAAAAATTTCTAACTATGTGCAGTGTTGGATGTTAACGAGTCATTAAGGAGATCACTTCTCAATATATACAAATAGTGATTCATTATGTTGTATACCTGAAACTAATACAATGTGATATGTCAATTATATATAACTAAAAAGCTATGTAATTTGGTTATTCCTTAAGCTCTTTAAAAATTAGAAAAATGCTTTATCACAAATGTTTATTTTGAAACTAAATTGTGTTACTTTTAACCTACTTTGTCAAATTAGGTGATGTCAAAATTAATTTAGTAATAGAAAAAATACATAATCGTTGCTTAAAATTCAATTATTTTAAACGTTTTCTTGGTTAAGACAATTTTTCACAATTGTTCTGCATGATACCCTAAACCAGTAATGTTTCCTCTTCTTGGATTCCTCTTCTTGGATGATCACTGTAGATGCTCTCCTAACACATATGCACATGCATGCAGGCAAACACACACTCATGCAACTGCACACAGAATTTTAGTTTTAGAAAGTTAATTCTCACATAATTCCAATTATGAAATTCCTTCATGAAATTCCCTGGAAATTCTTAAAAACTATGGATTATAGACAGGTTCAAAAGCTCTGACCTAAATATATATCTTCCCAGGAAAGTATTATAAACCCATCAACACACACAAATTAGATGATTTTTAAATGACCCATTATTGTCAAAAGAGCCTCAAATTATCAATTTTGTTGACATTTTCTTTAGATAAACTTACAGATATATATGTCAATAACT